AGTTACTTGTAAAAATTGTAGGATTGCATGAGTTTGGCAACCTACTGTAAGTGGCTAGAAATATCCTCAATCAAAAGTCGAAACCACGTTTATGAATGGTCTAGTGCCTTCGTTCCATATTAACTACCATTGCGATCCCATTCTTTAACTGCGTATGGAATGCATGATTCCACGACGGTTACCTCAGCAGTTTGTATTGCCTTGACGGTTAACCACTGGGATAGTTTGGAAATCCCATAGTTGGAAATCCGATCCTTGTGTCTCTGGTAGCCCCAAATAACTTCATCTGCTTTTTCCGCCCCTCCCCCTATTTACCTCTCATAGGCCATGGCAAGAGTGTGGAGAGAGGGCCAAAAACGGCCAGTGCATCTCTACCGTCTGGTGACTGCTGGCGGCCTGGAGGAACGAATCTTCCAACGTCAAGTAGCCAAGTCCTCCCTAGCCCAATGCGTCGTGGCTGACTGCCCTCCTATCTTCAATACCACCGGCAAGCCCAATTCACAGAGCCGATTAACACGTGAAGAACTGAGGGTAGGCTTTGGATGTGCTTGTCAACCCCCACTTTTGTCCACGCAGACTTGCCTAGGCCAATGGTTTCCCAGTGATGGTGTACCGTTCATATGCTTAGTTCCCTTTTATCACCAAATACACCGCAGTGTCAGCGTTTACCATTTAAACGTGCATGCACCTTATCACACAGATCAAGCTAAAGGGCTATTCAGCTACTGTATGGTCAAGCGCCGCTGAAAAAGGACATTACATGATAGAGTGACTGTCAAGTGATCTTCGTTACTGGTATTTAGTACGTTTTTCGTCTTGCCGCATCTAGCCAACTTTAAAGACGTAAACGATAGTCATTTTGTACGAAACACCGTCAACGAAAACCTACCCTGAGTACTCGATGGACACTCTTCTCCACAGGCGGAGGCAGTTTATCAAAGACGAAAAAACGACTTCAATTTCTTGTCAGACTGCGTCGAGAAGACTTGTAAGATAAACTCCTTGTCTTAGCTACATTTATGATGCAGCAGTGTTCGGATTGAAGGTAGCAGTGGTGTATATAAAAGTACGCTGACAAAAGACTTGCACAAATAGTCTCAGTCGTTTTGTTAGATAGTTTGGGTAGCCCTTGATTTAGTATTGCAGCGTGTGCGAATTGTCTCTTTCGGGCAGAAGTCGGTGAACTTCCCTCAACGGACTGCCCTGAGGCAACGGTACTCCAAAACCAGCCCTGTTTGCACATACTCCGGAATTTATACCCGTAGGCAATAGCCGGCCAGACACGGGTCTAACCCACACGGCTCACGGTGGCAATATGGATATGCCGATGAGTCTGTGTACACCTTCGAAAAGTGGTCTTAGCCCCGCGGCATAATCGATTTGGGCGACAATGCCCTTGGTGCTCTGTCCTGTGAACAGCAATTTGGCCCTGAGAAATTTGAAATTGTCCTCTTAATTCCTCAGGATGGCTGGCTTCTCGCACTTACGAAGTCATTCGGTAGACCAGTCAGACTTGATACTGGCAAGACAGTCTTACCAGATTTTAAAGGATCAGTCAACCAACATCCTCATGTAAATTCTGCATCCTAAACGCCGTGTGCAGCTTGTTCATTGACTTTTCCAATCGGGCATGCGACCTTATCCAACGTTAGACT